TTCTTTAATGCATCAATATGGTTATTGCATACTGTCGTTATTCTTCAGGTGCGATAAATTAGTAAAAATAAGTATATGATATCAAACATGTTGTTTCGAAAAATGAGTTATTAAAATTATAATATTGAACAGCTGACTGGAGACTGTTTAATTTAATGTAAGGCCTCTAAATCAATGTTGGAGTTTATTATCTAGATATTTATTTTTCTTTTTTCTTTTTTTTCTGAGTTAACTACATGTGTTTGAAGCATTCTAAGAATATTCATACTTTTTATCTGAGTTAACTATTTGAAGCATCATTCCAGTCAGCTATGAGATATTTTTGGAAAATTAATTCTGTGTTGCCATTATGTTTGTGTATGTGTTGCTTTGTTTGAATGTAATATATTGTACCTTGTTTTATGGAGAGAGCTGAATAGGCTATGCCTGTTGCCCAATCCAATTCAATTTATTTGAATAAAATACTGTTTAAACTAACTATGAACATCAAAATTATTTATTTTGTAAAAAATTTCCTTTCTCCATTTGAACTGTACAATTATTGTCATTTACCTGTGTTTAAAGTAATTGCAAATGGCTGATATTTTTGTTCAAGCATATTGTTTTTCTTAAATTGTTTAACATTTCACAGCGGTATAACATGTTACTTTAATTATTCTTCCCTTAGTTTATTTATTTTGTATTTACATTGTATCATAGATCAAATTTATTTGTTCAGTGTATGTTCACTGGTGTTAATATGTCTTTTGATTGAGTTAAGCCATTTCAATTGATATTCTATAGTGTGTCTTTCTATGTTGTGATGTTACACTATTGTTTCAGATAAGGGTGAAGGTTTGGTACCATCAAAACGTTTAAACCTGCTGCAATTGTTTGCACCTGTCCTAAGTCAGGAATCTGATGTTCAGTATAGTTGTCGTTTGTTGATGTGGTTCATAAGTGTTTCTCGTTTCTCGTTTTTTATATAGATTAGACCGTTGGTTTTCCCGTTTGAATGGTTTTACACTAGTAATTTTTGGGGCCCTTTATAGCTTGATGTTCGGTGTGAACCAAGGCTCCGTGTTGAATACCGTACTTTGACCTATAATGGTTATTTTATAAATTTTGACTTGGATGGAGAGTTGTCTAATTGGCACTCATACCACATCTTCTTATATATATTTGAATTTTATTTACCTACAACATGCTATGCCTTAAAACTTTTCCAGATGCACAGGTTTGTCTTAAGGTGAAAACGCAGCCAATTTTAGCCAAAGTGTCCACATGAACCTTATTAATACTGATGTTTCCTGTTTTGGCACTCTGATTCTTGCTAATGAGAGCTTAGTTTTCTGCTTGGTTCCCTGAATAGTGACCATGAGCTCACTTTCCTGATTGGTTCATTGGTTTATACTGATAGGAAGAGTTAAATAAGCTGTTTTGGGTCACTTACTAATGCCGATGATGGGAATTTTATTTCCTGTTTTGTTTCACTGAACAGTGCTGATGAGAGGAGCTTGATTCTTTTTTTGTTTCTTCTAGTTAAATGTAGAACCTTCTTAACTGTGTACAAAATTAAATTTGTAGACAAAGTTCTGAACCTGCACATTAAAAAAATTCAGATGCACAATGGGGGCATACGCTGAATTGCAATCTTTATGAATTTGTAGAGAAGAAACAAATTTTTAATTCATGGAACTTTTATTTGGTTTTGGTGATGATGATGACTGTAAAACAAGGCGAAATATACCAATATGACATTCAAAATCATCAGTCGGAAACAAATTGATAAACATAGAAAACTAAAGACTGAGCAACAAGAACCCCACCAAAAACCGGGGGTGATCTCAGGTTCAGACCCTGCTCCTCATGCGACACTAAAAGTCTGCTAAATGATAGAAAATATGATTGTGACCTTGACCTTATGACCTTAAAGTTCTTTCGGAGGGGCATTCTCATACTAATTTTAGTGAATGTTTGACATATATTGTTAATTGTTTTAATTCTAGAAACAAATTAATATTCCCAATAATTTCAGTTTCCCGTTTGGGATTATCAAACCAAGATTAATCAAAGTAGGATATATGGTTTAAAGATAACATCTGGAATTTTGCCCAAATTTCAGTTTATAGAGAGATGCTGAGCCCTTGACTTTTGACCCCAAAAATGATAAGGTTCGACCTCATCCTAATGGCATTATAAAACCAGATGACAGATCTTATATCAATCAGATTGAAGTGAAAAGCTGACACTGCCAACTGATGATCCCCTAAACTTCTTCTCCTTCTCTATATCTTCCATCTATAAAAGTGTCATTAAAAAACAACAAATAAAACTAGTTACCATCCTGAAAACCAACTGTAAAAAACAAATATTTTAGTAGCAGTGATCTTGATCTTTGACATATGGACCAAAAGTTAATACGATTTTCCACCTTCCATTTATCTATCTTCCAACCAATTATTGGAAACTCAAATTACAATCCAGAAACTATTTTCCCCCGAACTTTGACCTTTTTACCTCTAAATAAATAGGCTTTTCCCCAGTTCCCTATATCTTCCATATGTACAAGTTTTACTTCAATCAATCTTAAGTTACCACACAAAAACCATTCTTCCAAAATCTTTTTATTTTAAGAAACAGTGACCTTAACATTTTGACTTATTGACTTCAAAATAAACTGGCTTCTTTCCCTTCCTTATAACTTTTGTCTGTATAATCAAGGATACAAATCCTTGGTATAAGGACTTTGTATAATTTTCTGAGATATACATTTCCCCTACTCATTCCGAATTCAAGAGCTTGCAGCTGCTTCTTAGACTTTATAAAACGCCGCCAGTGTCTGAGCAGAAAGTTGATGAACAAAATGTTCCTTGGAAGATACCAAAACCTTGTTGATAAATATTCCGTATGATATCAACTTCACAAATAATACATGATGATCTTGGAAGTATATATACTAGGTACTGAAGTCAGGGGCGGATCCAGCCATTTTTAAAAGGGGGTTCCAACCATATGTCCCCATTCAAAAGCATTGATCGTCAAAAAAGGGGGATTCCAACCCCCGGAACCGCCACTGGAAGTTGTTTATCATGTGTTAAAGTATTCTTTTCATTTGTTTTTGTATAGTGCAACCTTTACTGTTGTCCATTTTTTGTATATAATATACTTTAGGCGTGGCTAGGTATTTATACATCCCACCATTGTTTTATTGTGCTATGGTAATTTTTGTATTCTTGTCTTTCATTTTTGCTTATGTACTTTGTCTATATGCCATTTCGTTTTTCTTTGTTTAAATAGTTATTTGTTTTTATGGGGATTAAGATTATATCACAATGTTTACTACTGTACCCCAATTTTTGACATTTTTACCTATTACGTCTGTTTGTTTTGCTCATATATTGTTGTCAAAATAATGGAATGATATATGACTGTCATACAAGTGAGAGGTTTAGCTAGCTATAAAACCGGGTTTAATACACCATTTTCTACATAAGGAAAAGTCTGTACCAAGTCAGAATATATGACAGTTGTTTTCCATTCGTTTGATGTGTTTGAGCTTTTGATTTTGTCATTAGATAAGGAATTTTCCATTTTGAGTTTTTCTTGGGTTCAGTATTTTTGATATTTTACTTTTTTTTCATTGCAATTATGCAAGGAATATTCAAGTTATCATTTAAGGAAACCATGTGTTCTGAAAACACTGGCAGATGTGCATAGTAAGAGAGTAAAGTGATGACAATATGCTCCTGAATATTTTTTTCCAGCAGCATAAAAATGTCAAACTTTTTATAATTTTTTTTAAAAATTATAGTGTTTTTAAAAAGGGTTAGGGTAAAATTTTGTTCTTTTTAAGTTTTTTTTTTACAAATGCAATTAGCATATAAACATTTTTAAAAGTCTTAATATTCAGTGGAAAATAATTCCAGTGCAAGAGTGTCAATTAAAATGTTCACAAATTTAAAACTATATAATGTTTGAAATAAATGAACATTAATTTGCTTAATTGAAAACATCTAATTGAAAATATAAAGAAACTAGTTTTTTCCTATAAATGATTGATTGTTTGTTGTCTGCTTAACGAACAGTGTCAAATATTTCATTCATATACACTTAGAGAACAAATTAATAATAAATCTAAAAGCTATAGGTAGATTCAGCAAAGTGAGTAAACTGGCACTACTGCCATAGAATTTAGATTGCCACTGGAAAATGGGGATATGTTGGATAGGGGTGGAAAGTTTGCCATGCAACATGACACTTAGGGACCTCTCAGATAGTTGTTACAAGGGTTCTTGAAAGGACAGAGAACATGGGGCCCTCGCTATGGGAGACATAAGATTTAATGCCTCCATTCAGAAGAGAGGTGCATTTAGCTGAGTATTTATACATCCCTTACAGCCAAAAGAAATACTCTCTTTAGCATGGGTTTTACAGCAAGATAGGAGAAGTCAAGGAATGATCATATTTCTATACCCTTGACAGTAAACCCTTGGGTCAGCTTTATTCTTACTCATGTGTGCAGCTTTGATACAGATCAGCTAGCTATATCCTAAATGAATGGCTCAAAGAAAAAGTTTCATAATAGATAACAGAATGGGATATAATTCCCAATGCGACAACTATTATACAAAAGAGCCAAACCATTAGATTGTAAACAACTATAGCTGCTATAAATCACCATTCAGCCTTCAACAACGAGCAAAATTCAAATCATATACATGTACTTAGTCAAATAAGGCCACAGCAAGATTGCCTATTTCAGATACATGTACAAAAATGTATGTACCATGGCCAGTAAGTTGCATATCAAAACTTTAAAATGCAACACTGGTCTTTTTTCATAAACAGTTATCAATTTATGTTTTTCATTTGTGATTTAAGGAAACCATGTTCCCCTCCCATTTGAATTCTCTTGATCAATTCAATCATGCATGATTCATAAGTTTCTTCAATACAGGGTTATATCCTAGTATTTGACCTCAAGCACATCCAACCAATATGCTTGAAATAATAAAGAATTTAATAAGATTAAATTTATTTCTATTTATCAACAGTCCATGGCCTTTCTGCAGCCCTCTGTCTACCCAAAGAGGACAGAGCTTTCTTCGAAGGTATAAGACCTCCGGACAGTCCAGCTCTATTTTTCCTTTTCATACTTCCCATGTAACTATCATCATCTTTTTCTTCCTCTTTCAGAGCAGGAATATATTCTGGCCGATGTAAGGGCCTCTTTACTCTGTCCGTAAACAGGGGAATTTTATTCACCCCTGTACACGCATCAGTTTCCTGATCGAAAGGAACATTCTGAACTTTAGAACAGTTATCTATGTCGTGAGAATATTTACAATTGTTTCCAAATCTACATCTACCTCTCTTAAATTTATGACATATCTGCTGTTTTTTGCCAGTTGCTATTTTTGTTGCTGAAAGTTTCACATGTTTTTCAAGAATTAATTCCTTTTCTTTTTCAGCTATATGATACTGAGTAACAAATACTGAGGCACCAGCCGAATGTTGCAATGAGTTTGAAGCACTGGGTAAAGGTTCAAGTAAAGGATTCGGAAGTCTTTCAGTTTCAATTTTAGAATCTACTTCTTGTATGTTGCTATGGTTACTACTGTCACTTTCATCACTGTCATTGTCTTCTGTTATTAAATAATTCTGTCTTTTATCTTCAGTAGCCTCCACAGATTTCCTGAAAAAAAATAAAAACAATTCAGAATATTTCATTTTTATTAAAATGTATACATTTGTTATTGTGAAAAACATTCAGTTTTTATCTTGATTTGTACATGTATGTATATTAATAAATGTTTGCCACAGATATATAGCTCATCTTTTTGTAATTTTGATAGTGTGTGTATAAATTAAGATCCATTTATTACATCGGTGATCCATTTATTTGGCAATCGCCAATGGCAGTCAGCAGGGTTTAAGAACATTTGTTGTTCGACCTGTTAGTCAAATGTGTTTTGTTAAAATTTACTTTTTCACTTTTTTGGTCATTTGGAAAATGTTGTTTGTGCTGTATTTAGACCCCTCTAACAAGAAATTTGTTTTGCATGCACACGTATAAAAATTGTGGTTTTTATCCAACGCAATCATAGGTTTGAACGTTGTTTTCAATTTAGACTTGTTTATATTATAGTATGTATACTATGAAGCAAACTTTGAAATTAAATTGCAATTAACACTTTTAAACATTAAAAATTATGCATAAACAGACCATGACTGAGAGGGCAGAGCCAAATAATTGCCATGGAAATGAAATACTAATAAATACAAATTCATACCAAATATCATTAACTTTCCACTAGTGGTTCCCCATAAAATGACCTAATCACAAACTAATACATGTAAACTAAGCAAAAGTTTCAAAGTCAATAGACCATGACTGAGGGGGCGGGGCCAAATAATCTCCATGGAAATGAGATATGCCAGTATTATATACTGCATACAAAATACCATTGAACTACCACTTGTGGTTCTCCATACAATGACTGAATCACAATTGCAAACTACATTGTAAGATGCTGATACCCGAAACAGCACTTGTAAGGGAGCAACCATTTAACTTCAAGGGGGGTTATGGTTTTTTGTCTGAGTCAGAATTTTTTTTCACGCAATCAATTTTATCTAGTTTTTCAACGCTATCAATCAAATTACTTTTTTCAATATTTAACACTATAAGGTATCGGGAAAATCTGGATTCAATATATTTTTTTTTGTCCTCTGCTTGTCCAGAATATTTTTTTTCATCAAATTGGGGATCAGAAATTAAAAAAAAAAAAAAATCATAACCCCCCCCCCCCACTTGAAGTTAAATGGTCGTTCCCTAAGTCTGTATTTTTTCCTACAGGCATAACAAAATGGATCAACGATTTTTGAACTTAAGTAAACTGCTGCTACCTCTTGCATAAATATAGTATATCTACATGATCTAGTGCAGTTTACAGCATATAATTCCAAACTTGGTAAGTCACTCTTTAAAAAGTTAAAATTTTTCACACTCAAGATTGAAAATCAATAAATGTTTTCAAAACTGTTTTTGCTAAACATGCTAAATGCAAAACCACCTTTCACTTTATAATATTCATTTTTTTGTACATGTATTGATGATATGCATTGTAAAGGGATTAAGTATTCAGTCATAAGACACAACTGTTACTGATACAACAAGTCCAAATTCAAAATGTGGGACATACAGTCTGTACAACAAAAAATTACACAGTACATGTACATACACATATTATTACATATGTACAACAAAGACGTACACTACAGTACATATATATACTTAAACTTTTGACAAGTCGAAAATAAACTGACAACACATGGCTAAAAAAGAAAAAGGACTGACAGACAAACATGCAACAGTACACAAAACACAACATAGAAAAATAAAGACTGAGCAACACGAATCCCACCAAAACTGGGGTGATCTCAGAAGTTCCAGAAGAATAGGCAATTTATATGAATCAGAGCTTGTACATGTCCTGTTTGTATATAAACAATCAATCTGACAATCCTACAAAAAATTATATGCCAAAGGGACTGTTAAACAAATTTTGCATGTTATACTCTTAAAATAGTAGGTCAGTAAATTATTATGCCCATTATATTTCTATGAATTGTATTTTTATATATCAGTGTATACAGAGTGTTGTGTTGTCAATTATCAGGAGTTTTGTAAGGCAGGTGTTTATAGCCAGAACAGATATGCAGAAAGTGTTCATACTGATGTTATACTACAACCATGGTTAATAAATAAATATTTTTTTATTACTTTGATGTATTAACTGTATGAATTGTTGTTAAAGTTTCTCTGCATGTGACATTTGTTTCCAACTGCCCACCAAGAAAGTTATATCTGCATTTAACATCCTTATTAATGGAATATACAAGGAATTACATCTACAGCTGCTTACAAAACTGACAAATCTGACCAATACTCAATACATCCCCATGGCACAAGAAAAAGTATACATTACAAAATAGTTGATAACCCCCAAAATACATATACACGTAAAAAGCTAGAATAAATAACTTTTTTTCGTAAGTATAATCAAGGTTATAAAAAGAAATGGGAAAAAAGTTAAAAAAAAGGGGCATTTACTATTCATTCATCTGGGCTGAACCAATCTAGCTTTGATGGTGCCAGGGAAGTAATCAAAGGCCCTCCCCCTTTTTTATGCTTCATGAGACATGCAGGCTGGTGAGTGTTCCAAATACATACAAACATTGAAGTGCAACTGCATGTTTTAAAAACCCTTTAAGCAAAGAAATTAGAATATGTCTGCATTTCATCTAAACTCTTTTAATACAGAAAATAAGAGAAGAGGTAATTAGATGGCAATATAAAATTCAGGTTTTTATAAATGTGGACTTGTCTAAAGAAAATATATAATGTGATTGATTGTAACAAACAAATATATATATATATATATATACTTTGTTTATTATATCATATATATGCTAAAATATGTCCAAATAATTATGACATCTTGAAAGGCTATTTCAATTTTTTGCTGTGATCAATGTGTTAAAGAGACAAAACATTAAAACTGATTGTGCTATTGAAGTATTCCAAGAAAAATGTACATGTATGAGGATTTGACAGAACTATATTATAACACAAGCGGTTATTGATTTTTCTCCCTCACTACAATTTACATTGTACATTGTATATGTACATGTAATACCAGACATATATTCACATGTGCACATTGATTTCTTATCAATAAGACAATATTGTTTATGTGTGGGTCATGAAAAAGTATCAATTTACCTGGAATAGAAATCAAGTTTTAAACTATGAAAATGTAGCTAGGTGAAGAAACTACTTTATTACCCTGTGTTGATAATATTATAGGCCAGTATCCTATAGTATATTTTGATACACAAAAAAGTTCCCTCCCCCTTTTTTGATGCTGCATGCAACGTGTTATAACTTATGTGCAAAAAGACATAGAGAATGCGATGGGCAACTACATATTTTGAATAAAACATCAGAACCTACTGCACAGGACTCTCGTCTTCGCTGTCACTTTCACTACCATAATTAGCTACCAAAGATGCCATTTCCGGATAAATTTATAATATCGCGCTGAGAAAGTTTAATTTTTTCATTGGTTAAAATTACCGGCATACCTTCCATGCCGTGTTGTCATAGTTCAAACAAAATAAACCTCCCGAAACATTGTCACTAGGTTACAAATAAAAAGACTTTTATATTTTTTCGTGAAATTCACACAGAGGAGTCAAATATATCTAAGATTTATTTATTTATTTATTTTCTTTCAATGCAAATCATTCAATCACTCGCCAATCAGCTGACGGAAGTAGGTGTCGCACCTGTAAGAATTTAGAACCGTATGGTTATAGGAATTGACTTTCCTGACCAGAAATTATTTGCACAAAATCCAGCTTTAAAAAATCAAATATAGAAAATTGGTTACTATTTCGATCATATAAACTTATCAATAAATTTAATGCACTAGATAGATTTGCTGGTAAAGGAGTTTTCGTTATTGATTTTTCGGAAATATTTATCATAATTTCATTTATCCCTTACGACCTCCGTCTGTCTGCTCACTTTTTGACAGGAGCCGAAAGAAGATGTCAGGAAAAGTGAGGCAGAGGACGTCGGCAAATGCCGCTGACTCAGCCACTCAGTCTGTAAACGAAAAGATCTTGAAAGAGTGCCATTCTCTTTACACAGAACCAGATAATGGTGAGAAAATTTTCTTCATTTTGTCTGAATATAACTTTTTCCTTTTTAAGCCATTCACAAAAAAATGTGGAAAAAGGGCAGTGACCGAAGAAAATCGAATAAATACGACGTCATGGAAAATTAATTTGTGAATTTAGTTTTGTATGTCATAAAATATGTTCAATTCTTTATTAAATTACATAATTTTTTTTCATCAAGACCAGTTTTTGCTACTGCCCGTTCAAGGTTGACCCGGCTGTGCTAAATATAACTTATAATCCTTAGTCTGCTGACTATTGAATTCCTTCTTATTCAACCAATTCAAAGGTCATGCATAAATGATTGGGTAAAATTGTCCTCTGGACATATTTCTTTTATTACAGTATATATTCAGTGAATGTTAAAGATAAGGAAGTTGCTGACTGGTATTCAAATACAATTAACCATTGCAGATTAGGTGAATCATAAGCACTTGAAGACCTTTGTAGTTAACTTAGAAAGTTTCAGCCACAGAAATATATTTTCATGTTTTCATAGTGGTATATTTAATAAAATATGTATGATTTCCAATCAGCTGTTTGTGTTATTTTATTCAGTTAATTAGTTTAAAACCTTAGAAAGGATCCATTGTCTTGGTTGCAGACAGACAAAAACCTATTGATTAGTGTCAGGTTCAAAAGGCCAAAGGTGACCCTAGCCAAAGGTTTTGGATATAAAATAAACTACCTCTGTTTGGAACTAAGGGGTCCAGTCTGAAATTGAAAAAAAATTCTTTCCATGAATATCCGAAAGGTTCTGGCATGTGCTGTCCCACCTGGCTTCGAAAACAGTCATATTTGCTGGACAAATTCAATATATGTAGTTGGTGGCGAGCTGTCTCATTGGCATTCATACCACATCTTAAATTTACAGTGTTCTGCCCAGGGCTCATTTTGCATATTTCACATCTTTTTTCATTTAAAATAATAATTAAAATTTATAAATGGGTAATTTTATGCATACGTTTTGAGTTGTCGACATAACTGTAAAGTAGACCATAGAGAAAATACCATTTATTGTGTTGTGAGTGATAGTGTGTATATAAGTTCAGTGTTCGGTGCCAGAGACTTATGGTCTGTATGTCTTGTATGATGCTCCCTCTGTAAGGGGACCATATTCACTGTGTAGAATGTAAACAACCTGTAGAAAAAAAGATCACTGATTTCTTGCATGGTTTGGAGGATGGAAGACGCATGCCAAACTTCTTAATGGTGCTAATTGGTACCAAATAACTTTGTAGTCCATTGGGAATCAGATATAAAATATAAACCATCTGGCATGAGTGGAAGGAGGGGCTGCAGAGGTGTAAAACATTGTTAATGATTTTAACTTTTCAACCATTGGATTTAGCATTTTTGGACAAATCCCAAAATGGGTTAAAAGAACCCTAATTATAATAGTATATAAATTAACTTTGCATTTTATACTGCTGCTTTCATTAAAAGCAGACAGTATTGAGAGGCTTCTGAATTGGCATGGACTTTTTCACATCTGACCATAGTGCCCAGTGCTTGAACTAAGACTGCATAACAATTTTTACCCCCTCCCCCCCCCCCCCCCCCCCCCCAGCTGAGGGGGCATTAAGTGTTCCCTTTTCTGTCTGTACATACATTCTGAGTTTGGTTGCTGTTTTCTAACTTTAGTTTGCCTCAACCAAATGTCTTGAAACATATACACAATGCTTATTACCACAAATTACAGATCAAGATTGAATTTAGGTGGCGTCACTTTTATAGTTCTAAAGTTATGCCCCTTTAAAAATGGAAAAATTACTGAATTTGTCATTTTCGTTCTCTCAAGTTTGCCACAACCAAAACCTATGGAACTTGTACATGAAAGTTATTACCACAAAACTCAGATCAAGTTCAAATTTGGGTTGGGTCACTTTTACTGTTCTTGAGCTATGTCCCTTTATATTATAATGTTATATGCAAGCGGGGGCATCATCTGTGTCTCATGGACACATTCGCCATTTATTTAAGAGCCTTCTTACAATCGTAACTGTAAATTATTTTTGGGGTTACTCTTTCAATGACCATGTACTTTGTTGCCATTGCTTTATTTGGGGGAATCCATTTTGTATCAGCAACTCCTATTCCAATTATAACAATTTGTTATATATTTCTCGCCCAATTTTTTTTAATGCTTTTGTGCACCTCCAATTTTGATTTTTGAACCAAAGTATTTTTGGTTTCCCTTTCCATTTACATGGACCTTTGTTTTATTGAAAAGGGGGGAGAGGGGGGGTGTAACCATTTTGTATCTGCAACTCGTTGTAAGCCTCTCAATACAATTTATTGAAATGTCTCACAATCTTACCCATACAACACTGTTTTGCACCTCATATTTTGTTTTTTGTTCAGGATCATTTTGTGGATTTCCTTTCCAGAACATGGACTTGTGCTTTGCTTTGGGGGAACCTGTTGTATTTGAAACTCCTCTTTAACCCCTTTAACAATTTATTGAAATTTTACAACAAAATTACTCATATAATGATATTGTGCACCTCTTATTTTATTTTTGAACAGAATTATTTTTGGAGTTTCCCTTTCCGAAGCATAGCTCCAAAACCTCACAATCTTGCCCATACAAAACAATAGTGCACCTCTTAAATTGGTTTTGGATCGGAATTGTAATTGTCTAATCATGCTAATTAGGGGGTTTCTTTTTCCAAAGCATGGACTTGACTTTCGTTGGTGTGGGTGGTACCCATTTTGTATCCACAGCTCCTGTTGTCGTTATAATGGTTTATTAAAACACAAACTTACCCATGTAATACTATTTGTTATGATTGGAATAATTTTTTTTAGCTTAAAAATATATTGAGGTATAGGTGCACAGTTTCCCCCCAACAAAGGCACACTTTTCTGGTCGTTAAAGTTAAAAGAAGAATATGATAACAGCTAATGTACGAAAATTTATTGAATATAGGCTGGAAATTTGATATTTTTTAGTATACATGTACATGTATATATATATATATAATACCTTAACCTTGTGGTTCTGATTTTATGCAAAGACCTGAGTGATTGTAAAAATTCCTCAACTAATTTATTACATTTGATCAATGCTGTCAGTATATATTTCCACTGCTTCAATTCTACAGTTCTATTAAAATTTTGTTTGCATTCAAAGATTTATAACTCCAATGGTTACCAGGCATAAAATAAATAAGGGCTGAATAAATATATGAAGAAAAGGGAGTTTGCATTATGAATTAAATTAAAATAATGCAGGGTATAATTAAAATGAAGACCCAGCTTTTGTCTATGTAATTTTGAAATTTTTTTATAGTGCAAAAACTGCATACAGGTGATATTGTTTTCATAAATATTTGGCTTCAAGCATCACAAATGAAAATTCTGATACATAATTTGTTGAAGTGGTGCATCAGAATTAGTACTGCTGCAGCATAATTATTTTTTTATGAATTTACATATCTGATAAAATAAACTAGACGACAATTTTTTCAGTAGATATTGGTACAAGATATTCAGTTTGAATGTTTTATCAATAATTCACCATATTAAGCAGTCTAGAAAATTCAAACATCTCCTTAAATACCCCATTTCATCTGAGTCACTGTCTATGTCTGAATTTGACTCATCATTTTTATCCTTCCAGTTCATTACTAGCTGATCTATTATGTCTACCTTTATTTCATCCATCTCTTATGTTAAACTTTCAATTTCGTCACCGTCTATTCTAGAATCTGACTCAACATCCTTCCATGAAACTGAAAATTTGCTCGCGCTAATGGAAAACTATAACAAAAATGATCCTTTCTGTCCATCATTTTTCTTTTCCCGACCGCCATAAGTGTTATGTAGTCGCCTTGGAGGTTAAATACTTGTTTTCATCACTAATATTGAATATTTTTCAATTATTATCAAGCGATGTCATAAGATGTTGATTTTCCATAAAGTAAATGTGTTGCTTCTCCATTATGTGATAGAAATTCCTTTTAGAAAATGTTTGATTCCGTTATATTATTAAAAGATAATGTTCCTATGGACACTTTGGTCTTCTTCATAATATTCATACTAGCAGTAAAAACAATGCAAAGGTGGGGCATCTGTTTGGCTGGGAGTCATGTACAGGTACACAGCCATGTCACGTCAGAATTGGGATGTTAAATCTGATGCTTCGTGTAAGAGAAGGGTTCTTCTTTCTGCACGTGAAGAACCCTTAAGTAGCCCGTTGCAAGGCAAAATTGCTGTCCATATCCAAAATGCAAATCTTGGTTATGTTATACATGTAGATAATGCATATTTTAAGGTTTTTCGTATAACACACCGAGACGGGTCAGGATTGATCAAACGAAAGACTGACCTCAATTTTCCAGTGGCAGTCCAAATTTCCCCAACCTTCATCCAGGATGGCCTCTTTTACAGGAACTACCTTTTTAATGTATTGTTAATTTGTTCTTGTCCTGATCATGCATGAAATATTTGCCATTGGACTCTAAGTAACCAACAATCAATCAAAACCACTCATCAAAAATGTATATATTTTAAGGCAAATGCATTATTTTGATTAAATAATTTAAGGAATATGTAAATAAATAAAATAAAATAATCTTCAGTTTTTATACGCCCGTTTACGGGACGTATTATGGTATACCTCTGTCCGTCCGTCGTCAACATGTCGGACATTAACTCAAAAATGCTTTAACCAATTTGCATAAAATTTTGGTGAATTGTTTATATCTATTGACCTGAGCTCCCTTTCGTTTTTTATAAATTTTAGATTTTAAGTTTCCGAGTTATGGGGTTTTATTCATTAAAAAAAGGGGGATTTTCCAGTTTTCTGACAATAACTCAAGAATGCTTTCACCAACTTGCAAGAAATTGTGGTGAATTGTTTATATCTATTGACATGAGCTCCCTTTCAATTTTTATATATTTTAGATTTTACGTTTTTGAGTTACAGGGTTTTATTCATAAAAAAAAGGGGGATTTTCCAGTTTTCGGATAAAAAATCAAAACTGCTTTCAGCAGTTCTTATGAAACTTTGGTGAATTGTTTATATCTTTTGATGTAAGCTCCATTTAGAATTTTATAAAGTTTTCATTTATCATTTCTGAGTTATGGGGTTTTATTCATTAAAAAAGGGGGGATTTTCCAGTTTTCCGACAATAACTTCAGCAGATCTTATGAAACTTTGGTGAATTTTTTAAATCTATTGATGTAAGCTCCATTTAGAATTTTATAAATTTTTCATTTATCATTTCTGAATTATGGGGTTTTATTCATGAAAAAAGGGGGGATTTTCCAGTTTTCGGACAATAACTCAAAAATGCTGTCAGCAATTCTCATCAAACTTTGGTGAATTGTTTAAATTTATTGATGTAAGCTCCCTTTACATTTTCATAAATTTCTAATTTGACATTGAGAATTAATTGAACTTTATTTGTTTATAAATTATAGTCTGACAACAGATTTACTAAGTATTGCGCAACAGCACAGTGTATTGCACAACAGCAAGAAATCTTTAATTGAATATAAATTAAATTCATATAACTAATTTCAAGTTCTTTGACTACATTCATTCAGAAACCTATAATATGTCAATTTTTTAATTACAATCCAAATTCAGACCTGTATCAAGCTTGAATATTGTGTCCATTTTTGCCCCAACTGTTCAGGGTTGGACCTCTGCGGGCATATCCAGCTGCGCTCAGCGAAGCAGTTTATTACAATGTATGTTTAATTTGTTACAGGTATGGTCAAAATAGCTCAAGATTTGGGTCTATCTCTGCTGGCACCAAGGAAGAAAATTACAGTTTTGATGATTGGTAACCATTCAGCTGGGAAGAGCTCATTTATAAACTGGTAAGAAAATATTTTTGTCAAATGTTTATACAGCTCAGATGGGTTTTGTTTAAGCACCTGTGTAGGGTTGACAAAAAGTACTTGGTGGACAATACTTCTAGGTCTATACGTATACCTTGCTCAGTCTCTCGAGTGGACAATACTTCTAGGTCTATACGTATACCTTGTTCAGTCTCTTGAGTGGACAATATTTGTTTTTCTTAAAATGTTTTGGAGTTGTACTGGTACATTAAAATAAGCAGATGATATATCATGAATTTAATGTTTTTTTACCAAACCAGGGATAAAATTTCAGTGGAAGGGTGCTACCCATTCCTGAGCCCCATATCCCATGATTTAAATTAATTGCTCTTCGCACCACTCAGCCCCTTAAAATGTGAACCAATACAATAGGGAAACTTAACAAGCGTGGTTGGCCATGCAAAATTTTGTATCTGTAGCCTGAATGTATGAGAATTTTATTGATTTAGGTTTAGTTTTTTGTGACAACAGTGCAATGTTTTCTCTGTTGTTGACACAGAGTTTGCGAAAAATGGTCCTGAAGATAATACCACCAAAATTTTGTGAAGGACTGACACAATTTTGGTATTTTGAAATAATAGCGAAGACTGGCAGATTTTCTTCCAAGGACCACCAGGGAAAAAAAGATTTTGCGATCTCTGTGACATTCTGTCCCCTTCAAGTTCAAGTGGTTCCTTCCAACACAAAGCTGCATTGGTTAATATGACAGAAGATTGGTTTAAAATTGTAAGTTGTTCAATTTAAGTGCTTGGCAGTGCTACAATATAAAGCATGGTTGTCAATGAAGCATTTGCAGAATCTTCAATACATATTGCTATTGTGTACTTTCTACTTATTTTTATCTGAATGATATATCTTGTACTGTGGATTAATTTATTTTCCTGGATATACATTTTGATGATTGTGGGAAAATTTATAATTTACGTAGAAACATGTATTTAATTTTGTTGTTTTTTCGAAGTCTACATATATAGCAGCCTATAGAAAATGTGTAATTTGTTGAACATATTTTTTTTTGGTTTATCTATATCCATGAAATCCATGAATATTGAATCCACAGTATCATTTCATTGTCGTTGCTTGGAGCAGGCGGGGTATCAATATTTGAGCTTCTTCAGTCTGTTCTAGTTTCATTTGTAGATTTACTTGTAATTATTTGCGTTACATGTCGTCCTGAATAGTTAACTAGCATTTCAAAAAAGAAAAAAATAGAAAAGCTATTGATTATAGCTGTCAGACAACTTAAACACCTCCATCTATTGACTAATAGTAGATGTCCTTAAGGTGCAATGCAATTTTATTTTGTTTTACATAATAAGCATAGTTGTTAACCAACAAGGCTGTTGGTTTCTTTTGCTTGTCAGCAAAGCAGACAGTCAAATGTTATTGCGTCTGTATGAAAATCAATATTCTGTCTCCGATTAAAACCACAGCATCTATGCTTGCAGTTTCCAAGAAATTCTGACGATTAAAGTATTTCCAGATTCTGATGCAGTAATTGAAAAAATGGTGGATGCGACGTTTTAATTTGAAATAGATTCAAATTCAATATTATTGAAATTTGATCTTGTTACAAATGTAAGTGGAGATTGGTGTGTAGATTCTTAACAAAGAAACAAAAAGGTTTTGCAGTAAATCCATCAAAAATAAAAAAATTTGATTTGAGTGTCACATGATGAGTTATTTGTAGACAAAATGCATGTCTGGAGTACAACCTTATAAAAAGTCAGTATCTTAGATAAGTTTTTTTGGTATAATCAAACTTTAATTTGTGCATTATAGCCTGGGGAAGGATTTTGCATTAGAATTTATCTTAATGGAGCTTTCAAAAACGCTGAACCAAATTTATAAAACAGGTACATGATGAATACAAATATTAGCTTGCCAAACAATTGTGGATGATGTGATTTTAAAAAATGGACATAGTTGTACAAGAACTAGAGCTGGTCATGATGTGGACAGAAAGTAATAACTTTAATAAATGATTACAAATGACAAGTTTTGTATTTATTGCATTTTATGATCAGAATTTTGCTTTTATCTTATAAGACTTAAGAGACTGACAATTTCACTACATTTTGAGGTTGTGCATTTAAAGGGACAATGAGTCTCACTCCTCACCCTGAAAATTGAACCAGACTTGGCTTAGTGTCTCAGCTTTTCTATGAGCCTTGATACATATAGAATAACCATACTTGTCTCAAAATATAAAATTTAAGGCTTAGAAACAGGAAGAATGGTAGGCTTTGATGAGCATTTCTATCCTGTTTCAAGGCCAGTACAAATCAAATTTATATTTAGAGACACTATATGGTTTATTTCTTTATACTGCAGATCTTACAACTGTTCCAAATGAAATGGTTTGGGTAAATACATCAATTTTGAATTTGAAGGGGACGATGTAAAAACTGTGAACCTGTATTCTCTATTGACCTTATAAATAAAACTCTAAAAGGCATTATTAACATCATAAACAAGGCAATATACAGTCCGTGACTGTGTATCACAAATGATTATACGGTCAATGCAATTTGACTGCTGAAATAGCTCAGATGCATTTTTAATGTACATATTATATGTTAGTTAAACATCTAACTAAAATGACCTCAAGAGATTTTCAAGTTAACAACTGGAAACAATTTTTTTTCAAAGTCTTGAGGTTAAATTAAATAATTATTTGGTTCTAGTTTCCTTAATTACCCTAATTTTGAATCCCTTCCCTAAACTTTTTTTTATTGCTGTTCACAATGTGTCCTGTGTATACTATATAAAAGTAGCTTCAAAAAAATTACTTCCTGCCTACCTTATTTTGGTCAAAAATTGTACATTGTAACCTGAACCACACATTATTTTAATGGCCTCGACATAGACATAGGTACAGAGGCCTCAGTGGTCGAAAAGTCTTTATAGTTCATCTACTATATATCTAGTCTGTCAACTGGGAGGTTGCGAATTCGAAACCCAGTACATGGCAGGTGCGTTTGATTCCAATCTAAGTTGTCAGTTTTTCTGCGCATGGTCAGATGTTGATGTTGTCTCTGGGCAATCTGGATCCTTCATCAATAAAAACTGGCTGCCACGATAAAGCTTATTGTGCTGAAAGTGCTGTAAAACACAATCATAAACATATTCAGTGAAATAAAATAGTTATAGGGACCCAACCTGCCACAATATGAAAAATTACCTTAAGGAATGGAAACATCTTCAGCTTAAAACTTAAAAGTGGTAGCTTTTTTCCATGGTTTCATTTCTTGGATGAACACTGGCAGAGGGAGACATTTTTCCTATTACTTTTATTCTTTGTGTGCAATTGCCATCGTTAACTCTTTTAATCAAATATAAGAGAAAGTTGATTTTTAGGGGAAATCTCTAGTATTGGCTGATAGTTATTTGTGGAATCTGGAGTTATTTGTGGAATCCGTCCTTAAAGCATGGATTTAAAATTGCAGTAAGCACATACCATATACGTCAATAAGTAGTTAATCTCTTAATCTGAAGAGGAAATCCAACCACATCACTATTTAAAGAAATTACATCAGACGTCTAAAAAACAACCATATAAAGAGCATTAATAACTGTACATATGTAGAAGTGCATGGTAAAATCAATAGCAGATAGCTAATTCGGTTCCCATCCTTTTTATCCTACACGAGATGTAAAAATTTGCCGATGTTGGCAGTTTGAGTTGTTAGACATATTGTGTCTGATTTTTAACTGAATTTGGTAAGTTTGTATTGATCTAGACCCGAATAATGGATAGTATGTGAAAAATTGAGACACATGTTGTCTTTTGTTATTGTGTTATTAATGTCTCTTTCAGAATGCTTATACTGTCTGCATTTTTAATGAACTCTGGCGGAGTTAAAAAAATTCATACTTCTTTTGTCTAGGAGTTAATATTTGGTCGAGTTTAATTGTGGGGATTATGTTTCCATCATTTTTAACATATTGTTTAGTTTATCGTTTAATTACAATCTTTTAGAGAATATGTACTTTCTGGAATTATACAAATTATTTGTTGATTAATTTTGAATTGTATTATGCCAATTTGTAAGTAAGGATTTTTTTTTTAACTAAGAAATCTTTAAAAAAACTGTGGATTGAATTTTCATGTTTATATGCTTATTATTAATTTTCCTAGCAGTCCTAAGGATCAAGGTAAAGGACACATTTCCACTGTAAATTAATTCCACATGCCAAATTGGTGACGTTCTCCACTCATTTCTATTCCAAAATGTCTTTTTTAGTGATTTTGGTGTCACAGTTTCAAAAATAGTATTACAAGTACCATTCCCCGAACTCCCTTATAAATCTTAAACCCCTCCTTAATGACTGTTTTGAGATGTGGAAAGCATATGTTGGTAGATAGATACGTATGTTTATTAGTTATGTAGATTTAAATAAATTATTTTAATATTTGCCTACAGGAAATAATATATAAAAATTGATATGTCAGCATCTATTCTTTTTATTGTTATAAGACTGAAGAGTTGTCTCCCATTGAAAATTTTACAGCTGTTGCAGGTTTATTGTTACAGAAGATAAAAAGTCTTTTTGATTAATAATCAATTCAGTGAAAATGCTAATGAATTGACTCTCTACATGTCACAGACATGCAGTTATATTGTTTTCATTTGATGTATAAAAAGGATTTATTAACATGACCTACTAAAGTAAACTGTTGCCAGTCTGGCATTGTTAAGTTAGCAGTAAACATAACAGCTGAATTGGATTTGGTTGAACTCTCGTTGGCCACAATTTTACTTCCTCCTTGGGAATTTTCTGGGGTCCTATGACTATAAAGATTTGGTGACAAGTATTGTACAGGATGAGCAAATAGTAGTCTCATGTAGAGGGATTTTCTCGCTGTGTTAAAGACCCATTGGTGGCCTTCGGCTGTTTTTTGCTCTTTGGTCGGGTTGTTGTCTCTTTGACACATTCCCCATTTTCATTCTCAATTTTATAGAACACTATAACAACTTGAAATATTGTAGCAAGGTTTAATTAAGGTAGAAGCAGTTGTTATATACTATGACTTATGTCCACCATTCAAATTGTCTAACATTTGTTCAGACAATTGTTTTGTCATGCCATTCAAAATTGAGCTGAAATTCCGTTTATGTGTTAATGGGGGTATTACAGATTAATTTTGCATTACATTTTGGACACTGCTTTTCACTGAATTGAGGGCGTTTCCCTGCTCATGATGTGGAACTTGTCCAGAATTTTATATACCGGTATATTGCACTTTAGGTATTTAGCTGATTTAAGTTCATAAGTCTAGAATATTGAATTACAGATTGAGTTCATGTATCCTTTTCAGTCCTTCCATAAATCCCTTGAAAGTGGGGAGGGGACATTGCAGTTGGCCTGGAACATCTAGTTTAAAAATGTGCTGTGTCTAATCTTTATTGTGGATAAATACTTCCATAAACGCATTCAATTCTTATATCTACAATAAATACAAGTATGATAAGTATATTATCCAAAAAGAATAATTATGATAAATAATAAATAGAATGAATTAATTTTTTCATTGATTTACCTGTTGATTTCCATGTATCTATGGTAGCAAACTGTTTTCATACAATATGAAAGTTTGTGACAGTACCATGTGGTATAAGCTTAAGCCAATAAGAACTCAGATTAAATAAGAATATTTAATATTGTATTTAAATTCCACCCTAATAGTTGACTCAAGTTCTGCAAATAATTGTTTTTCTCTTTTCAGGTATGTTGAAGAACATGTACAGAGAACTGGTGTTGCCATAGAAACACAAGGATTTTCCTTTATTACCAGTGGCAGAAAGAGGGAATCCTTAACAGTAAGTTCAAAGTTAATATATACTTGTAGTTAACACAGGGATGGAAATAGAGGTCTTTAATTTATTTTATAAAGGATGAGGTTATAAACCAACGTTGGCAGGGGTTTGAAATTTGCAAAATTTAGATCATCTAAGGTCCAGAACCATTTGAATTTTAATGCGAAAGTTCTACCTAAAGGAAAGTCATAGGTCCTATATAAAGCATCTGTGTGCAGAATGAACCATTCTGGACTTTTTCTTAATTAAAAAATGATCAGTCCTCTTCCAGAGACACATCTTGGACCTCATATTCACATTTATTTGAACAGCTTTCATTCATTAACCTTAAATTAAAGATCACCCTACATTTAATTAACATAGATACCTGTAGGATTTCTAAACAAACCACATGGACCATGCTGATGGTGATCTGCAAACTGCAATACCACTTTACAGCATTATATTATGTAAAAAGCTGAAAATAAGAAAAACGAGCAATATGCAGGTTTTATTTGTATAATTTGGTACTCCTGTATGTCTTCAACAGTCTTGGCTCTCAAATCAAACCAAAGTCAGGTTTTTTTGCAAGGTCCCAGGTTTTCTTAAGGTCCTTGAAGGGTCTCTGAATGTATCAAGGACAGAAGTAAAATGCTACATGTAAGACTCATTTAGGAGACATTGTACAAGCTCTTAGTTGTAACTGCGAGGCTGATTTTTTTTTTGCTCTTTTCCCTGTCATTTTAGATTCCTTTGTTTTTTATGCATGCTGGTGGGATCTGTTATACTGTGAATGTGATCTGTTGTACTGTGATGTGATCTGTTGTACTGTCCAATATAATCCTTTATTATTGTATTATTAAGTATTATGCACCAGATGGCATATAGTAGTAAAATGCAGTGGCTAACAATAGTAACATATGAAAAGAGTTAGCAGAGGGATGGATGCTTCATTGTTTTTTTCATCATTTTAGTTATAGTAGAATTAGAGATTCTGTATCCATGTACTTCATTTTACAGCCCTAGTAAAAAACTTCCACTAAATCTTGAGTGTGGCTTTGTGAAGTTTAAGCTGATAATCATTAATGCATTATCTTTCTTAAATATATGATAAAGCTGAATTCATTACTGAACAAAGGGTATTACATTGTGTGGAAAAAATCAATTTTGCTACCAGCTGGGTAGCTTTAAAAACTGACCACTTTTTTTTCGTTTATGTAAATGAAGGTAGGTAGGTAGGAAACTAAATACAGATCAAGTCTAGGTTGTTGTTCACAGTATAATTACTAGATACAGATTGTTTAAATTTTATGATGTCTACACCCTGTACTGAAAACTTGGAGTTAAATCAACCATAAAAGGATTGAGGGTCTATAACTTGTGTAGGAAGATCTGATCATGTTTTATGTGTAAATGTAATATTAATAGGTACAGGCATATGGTGAGTAATTTTGTGGATATTTAGGGAATAGTTCTGATAAAATTATGTATTTGATAATGAATGTTTGAAATAGAAAGTTTATAAAACATATAAGGGAGCTACCATTTGATTTGTATGGGGGGGGGGGCTAGGATGAAATTTGAAAAAAAATAGGCAGGACAGGAGTTTTGAGTAAAAAAAAAGGCAGGATGAGATTATTTGCCAAAAAAAAAGGCAGGATGACAATTTATGTAAAAAAAAAGTCAGGATAAACTAAATTTTTCATCCTAGCCCCCCCCAAAAAATCAAATGGTAGCTCCCTAATGAGTAATGGGGTGTACTATACATGTAAAACTGTATTGTTTAACAATGTCGAAATGGGCAGTTCTTATATGTGTTCTTTGGATTTTTATACATATGAATTTTTCCAAAGGATGTTTTAATGGACTTGAAAATATTGAGCAGTAAAGGAATTTTCTCGATAATCTGAAATCTCAGAGGTTTAGAAATCTTGTCTGGCCATCTTGTTGGGCAGATTATGGATAGGTCCGACAGGCTGTCCCTAAGTGTTGTAAAATCTAACAAAAATCTGCAAAAATATATTATTTATGGTAGGCAGATTGTCTTTTAGACTTTTATTCTAGTTTAGTTTAAACAGTATTTTATTCAAATAAATTGAATTGGATTGGGCAACAGGCATAGCCTATGTAAGCCCTCTCCAGCTATTCTTTGGGTGTCTACTGATTAATTGAAATACTATCGGAGTATATAGATATGTCTGCCTGAGATCCTACAAATAGAACAAAAAAGATGTATAGAGTAGGGTGTCCTATAGTTTAAAGAATTGAAGGTTTCCATTCCCACTCAAAAATGCATTTTACAATTCCTTATTAGGAATGTTAGGCAAACAGAAAAGTGACTTTTGAAGAATGGGGGGTCTTGATCCAAACCTTGAGAAAAAATTCAGTGTCTGTGTCTTAATGAAATTTTCTAGATACGCCCTTTTCATGAAAGTTCATCTTAACTTTTAACAAATACACCTTCACAGATATTTAAAAAATGTACATGTATCTATACATACTAGTTTGTCAGGTAAAGTGATACGTTATATAAAAAGTCATAAAGTAGGCTTATATGTACATTAGGTAGGAGTTTTAACAGTTCTCGCTAATAATATTTTTCAATATCTACAAATTGTATAGAAAGGAATTGTTTCTTGTTTCTGTCCTAACTAAACCAAAATAGAATGATGTAATTATATATAAAGTATGAATCAGCTGACTTGAGTTCAGGTATTTATGTGTCTACATACTTGATATACCTGTATATCAAACTTTCTGCTGATTCAGCAAATTGTTGTACCATCAAGTAATCGTTTAAATTCACTGGACATTATTATAAGAGTTGTGGACTTAACCTTTTATTAGGATTATTGTTGGATAAAATTCAAATTATAGAATCTGAAATCAATATTAACACGTACATGTAAAATATTACTCATTTTAACTGATAGACATTTTTTTGGGTATTGAACTGAGAAGTGAAAATTTTTTTCAATCTGTTGGGGAAATCTGATGATTTCTTACCTTCTTTATCTGGTATTCTTTGTTTTATTTATCAGTGATTCAATTCTTTCCCTAATTTATTTATGAGATATACATGTACACATTGGGGCAGTACCCCACCCCCCATATATAATTGATATAGGGTTTACCTTATTCAAACCATGGTATATAAGGGTGATGCACAATAGCAATGGAAAAAATATCAAGGGTGTCACACATGTGACTTTTTTTTTGAATAAAGCATGATAAATGCAGGATATCCTGCTAATTTATGACATCATTGTATAAGTTAGCATGTCATATATCTTAAATGCTCTGTAATGTGTAATTAAAGAACTTGATTTGAGTTGTGTACATGAAAAAGGCTATTAGATCATCAATAAAGTTGGATAAAGTTTGCATAAATATAGAGATTTTATTTAATAGTAGTGTGCATTGAAGTTTTTTTAATACATGTAAATAATATCAGTGATTATCTTATTCTTACTGACCCTGGGAAGTTGTTCTTTTTTGTCTGTAAATGTACAATAGGGCTCACACTAGTCTAGACGATTTTGGTGAAAAAAACTACCTGTCTGTCACTTCGCCTTATTGCCTTATTCGCCTGCCTTATTGCCTTATTCGACAGTCTATAGTAAAATCAAGTGGTCCTTGAATTCAAATGGTCTTGCAACATTTTTTTTTTTTTGGGGGGGGGGGGGGGGGGGCAAGGGGTTCTAACAGTTTTGTGCAAAAGGCCTGTGCTGTCCTAGTTCATTCAGCCATATTTCCATGAGCATTACTCAAGCTGAGGGGAAAAAGCCATCAGAATTACACTGTACTATGTATAGGTAAAACAAATGTAAATTTGCAGTGATCAAGGTCCAAAAGATCACAATGCAAAGCATGGTACATTTGTTTACACGGATAAAGGATAAAACTTGTGTTTATAAATATTATCAAATTGTATTTGCACATGTGGATTAAAAGTTTGAAAACATTTGAATTTCACTGAGGTTTGTTTATTGGCATGATTAAAACTAAATTTGAAAACTGCTACACTGGAATAAAAGACTTGTCTATTACTTCCAAGATTTTTAGTCATTTATTAAAGTACTGTACATGCTAGGAAAGTCAGCCAAGGATTGGCCTCCCAATCATTTTTTGATAAAGTAAAAATAAATAATAAAAAAAAATATCTCCCAATGCAATTGACAGCAAGATTTCAGAAATGTTTCTATTTTCTAATGCACTTATTTTATAATAAAAAAAAATTAATATGTTGTGTAATATAGTCAAATTTTCAAAAGTATTCATGCTTTTAACATTTATACAAGACATAATTAGCATGAGATACTTCAGGTGATTAATCAGCTGTTTACTGAATGGGGCGGTATAACCTTGAGCACTTCACAGTCCAGTATTTTCACCTAGATATTGGATGAAGTTGAACATTGGAGTGCTAAAATTTGACCTTCTTATATATTATATTTGAATTTAATGTATTGGTATTTAGAATTCCAACAGAATCGATCTTCAGGAGAGGATAGGTTATTTTTCACCTGTTAAAATTAATTAATTGAAATAAGGATGAAGGCTTTGTGTGTTTCATCAAGAGTTAATTATTTCACAAATGAAAATAATAGAATATTTAACAGGAAGTAGGAAGAGGTTTTTCAGAACAAGTTTTCAGTGTAATGGAATCAGGAAATATCAATAAAATATGACTACATTTAACGTTTGTACAGCCATACATGTAATTGATCATTCTGGAAAAAGAGGTAAGGCGTTTTTTTGTCTGAAGGGAATGTTCATAATGTAATATTTCAGCTCATCAAATTTTTGCTGTGTCAGCAAACCTCCCAGACAAGAAATCTATAGCATGTGTATTGATTGATCTTAGTAATCTTGTTTAAGAGACTGTTGTGTATTCACTGTATGGAGAAAGGTCATTAACAGTGTTATAAGGGAGATAATCCATGCTGATTTCCATCATGTAGTGACCTTGGTCAGTTACATAAAAAAATAAAGACTTGTATAATTCTATATATAATTATTTC